CTCAAAGCACAGCAGACAAATAATCAGTACAAGAAAACTGAATTCCAAACCAGTGCTGACAGCTGGCACAACAAAGCATTGCATGGACAGTTCCTTGACAAAATTGAAGGAAAAGTTGACAAGGAGAGGACCTGGTGATGGCTCACAAATGGAACCCTGAAGAAGGAGACAGAAGGCCTGATTCTTGCAGCCCAGGAGCAAGCCATCAGAACCAATGCAATTAAAGCCAGGATCGCAAAATGATCCAAAATGCAGACTGTGCAAGGAAGTGATGAAACCATGGACCTTATCCTCAGTTGTTGCAAGAAAATCGCACAGACGGACTACAAACAGAGGCACAACTCTGTGGCCAGATGATTCACTGGAACTTATGTCACAATAACCACCTGCCAGCAGTAAGCCCACAAAGGTTGAGGAAAATGAACATGCAAAAATACTGTGGGACAAATCTAGACTGACAAAGTTTTGGAACACAATACACCAGACATCACGATTGTGGAAAAGAAAAAAGTCTGGATTATTGATGTTGCCATACCATTGAACTGCTAAGGCTCTGGCATAAAACAGTACAGGTGATCCCAGTGGTCATTGGCGCACTGGGTGCTGTGCTAAAAGATCTCAGCTGGCATTTGGAAACAATAAACATTGACAAAATCATGATCTATCAACTGCAAAAAGCCACCTTACTTGGATCTGCGCGTATCATTCGAAAATATTTGGGGTTCTTTTACCCCGCCCTTCTCACCCCGAAGGGGACTCAGGGCGGCTTACAAAAGCAAGGCACAATTTGATGCCTGCATCATAAAAACAATCAAACACAAAATTACATCAATACACAGTTAACACCAAATATACATTATAACCATAAAATCAATAAAACCAAATACAAACCCAGTTTCTCCTCTTACATGGTCAGCGTTCGCTACTCATAGATCTAGTTTTACGTTCCACTTCATCAGTCCTGCTGGTCTTACTCGCCTGGTTGTCTGATTTAATTGCCGGAGTGCCCAAAGGCCTGGTCCCATAACCAAGTCTTCACCCTTCTCCTAAAGCGAGGAGGGATGATGATGCCCTGATTTCCCCCGGGAGTGAGTTCCACAGGTGAGGGGCCACCACTGAGAAAGCCCTGCTCCTCGTCCCCACCAGCCTCACTTGTGACAGTGGTGGGGTCGAGAGCAGGGCCTCCCCAGATGATCTCAGACTCGGGTGGGACGTAGAGGGAGATACGTTCGTACAGATACACTGGACCGGAACCGTACAGGGTTTTGTAGGTCAAAACCAGCACCTTGAATTGTGCTCGGAAATACATCACACAGTCCTAGACGCTTGGGAAGTGTTCGACTTGTGATTTTGTGATACGAAATCCAGCATAGAGATCTCATTTGCTGTGACGTACTGTGCTTTTGTGTCAGAATAATAATAATAATAATAATAATAATAATAATAATAATAATAATAATTTGTTACCCAATTCTTCTAACAGCTCAAGGTGGGGTACAACAGAGTCAAAATATGAACATAAAATACGTACAGTAAAATATGTTCAGCATATGCTCTTTGAAGTCAGAGTAAGCAGAAGACAAAGGGGGAAAAGAAAGGTGGGAATAGAAACTGGGACATTTTAAAAACAGTTGAAAAAGTGGGAGGCCAGAAGATTAATTTGGGAGACACCAGTCAAATAGGGACAATTGGAAGGTATGAAGTTTTGATCTGGGTCTGTCTTATGGGAAATGTCTTATTGCCCAATTAGCTGTGTCTTTGAGGTGGTTTGCAAAGCTAAAAACAATCAATGGAATTGCAAAATACTACACAAAGAGTCAATGCAAATGTAAGACTTCCCAATGTTGGACTCTGAACAACATTAAATGGTTTTTAAGAGAGAGCTGTAATGCCTGCTAGTAATACCAGTGATAAAATCAAGGACTCAGTGCCAACTGAAAGAGAAAGTCTGGTATCTAGATCTAGAAATAATGGTACCAAGCAGAGCTCTTTAGGTAGCTATTCCACAGACCGGGAGCTAGAGGATGAATGGCATTGCGGAAGAAGGTTTTTTTCTGAATAGCAACCTGTCACACCATTTTGGGGAGGAGCACCCAGAGAAGGACTGGCAGAAATGTAAAAGACCGTGATTCTGTATGTTGTCTAGTCTTCAGTTGTATTTTGTGTTTTGACTAAGGGGATGGGGAAGAGGCTCAGAATGGTAAGTCCCACTCTGGATTGTGTCAGTACTAACTCTATGCACTAGGCATATGCAATCCATGGTTCTAAATGGTTCTAAAGTACTTACAAAACTAAAGTTTATTTATTTATTTCTTTATTTAGAACTTTTATATACCGGTCTTCTCACCACCGACGAGGGACTCAGGCCGGTTTACAACAGAGGAAATCATACACAATAGTTAAAACATCACATCCTATAAAACACTAATATAAAACACATTAAAATACAATCATATAATTACATAAGGCCAAGTCGTCAGAATAAAATTACAATTCATCACCATCCGTCCGTGTGGTCAAGGGTTATTGACTCACTCATCAAATGCCAGATTCCAGAGCCAGGTTTTCACCAACTTTCTAAAGGTCGGGAGGGAAGGGGCAGTTCTAATCTCCAATGGGAGAGAGTTCCAGAGCCGAGGGGCCACCACCGAGAAGGCCCTGTCCCTCGTCCCCACCAGACGCGATTGCGAGGGTGGTGGGACCGAGAGCAGGGCCCCTCCAGAAGATCTTCTCCCCTATGACCCTTAGGGGAGAATCCGTTCGGAAAGGTAAACTGGACCGGAGTAGTTTAGGGTTCTGGTGGTGAAAACTAGGAGGCGCTGGTGCTTTGCTGCTACAGTGTTGCTAAAGTTCTGGTGGTCAAGATTTCAGAACTCTAACAAAATTTTCAAAATTTCATTATAAATGGCAGTTACTAATTTGTTCTCTCATTAAAATCATCAATAATGAAATAATAATGAAATTTTGAAAGTTTTGTTAGAGTTCTGAAATTTTCACCACCACAACTTTAGCAACACTGAAGAAGCAAAGCACCAGCGCCCTCTAGTTTTCACCACCAGAGTTTTAGTTCTGTAAGTGCTTTAGAACAATTTAGAAGCATGGATTGCACATGCCTACAATGCACACTGGTCCATGCAATTTGCTCTGTGGGTCTCAAGTTGATTTTCCCCATCTCACATTGCGATTTGTTTTCCTTTTAGCTAATTTGAACTGTGCTCTGCCACTAAGTTAGGCCTCAAATCTGCACCAGTTGCCATTGAACCCGGAGGATGTGGGACCCTTTTCATTGTAGTAGTTGGTTGAGACAGGACTTTTTGCTGCTGCTGCTTCTTCCTCCTCCTCCTCCTCCTCCTCTTTCATTTATTTATTTATTTATTATTCGAACTTATATGCGACCACTCCCCTGGGGTTCAGAGCGGCTTACAAGAACAGGCTAAAATCGAACACAATTTAAAAACAATTTAAAACAATTTAAAAACAGCTATATCAAAAATCAAAGGCCTGTCGAAACAGGTATGTCTTACATGCCCTGCGGAAAGCTGATAAGTCCCGCAAGGCACGGACTTCAGGTGGCAGAGTATTCCAGAGTGATGGTGCCACTGCTGTAAAGGCTCTGCGTCTGGTTGCTGTTAGACGCAAGGTCTTGACACTGGGAATTTCCAATAGATCTTGGTCCTCAGATCGGAGGGATCTCTGGGGTTGGTAGAGGGTGAGGCGGTCCCTCAGGTACATCGGCTGCAGACTATGCAAGGCCTTAAAGGTGAGTACCATCACTTTGAAAGTGATCCGGTGCTCAATTGGTAACCAATGCAGCTGTAGTAAGATTGGTGCTATGTGGCATCTCATCGGAATTCCTGCAAGAAGCCGAGCAGCTGCGTTTTGTACCAACTTGAGCTTCCGGATCACCGACAGAGGAAGGCCAATGTAGAGGGCATTACAGTAGTCCAGTCTTGAGATGACCGTAGCCTGGATCACCGTAGCTAGGTCGTCCCTGGACAGGTAGGGGGCCAACCGTCTAGCCTGCCGCAGATGAAAAAAGGCGGTTCTGCTGACGGCGGAGACGTGGGCCTCCATCGTCAGCAGACGGTCCAAAAGGACTTCCAGACTCTTTACCAATGACGACGGGCCTTGCCATCCAGGGTAGACCGCTGGATATCCCCACTGCCCAGTTGACCCAGCCATAGGATCTCCGTCTTTGCTGGATTCACTCTCAACCTGCTGGCACGCAGCCATCCAGTAACGGCCTCGAGACACTGATGGAAACAATCGGGATGGCCTTCCATCTTCAGTACCAGCTGAGTGTCATCAGCGTAACACTCTTCTTCTTCCTCCTCCTCCACCCCTCCTCCTCCTCCTCTTCCTCCTTGCATACCTTGAACACTTATTCGTAAAGTAGAATATTGTATGAGTTAAGGATGGATCATGGTGATCCTCCAGCGTTTCTCCTACAACTCCCATCCATTATAGGCAGCGTAGCTAATGCTGGATTATTATGAGAGTTGTACCCCAAACACATCTGGAAGGCTGCTGTGCTGGTAGAAATGCAAAGTTTGCTTCCAGCATTTTGAACCCTAGATAAAGGGCCTTGTTTTGCTTGCATGTTGGTTTTGCAGAATGTGGAACTCTTGGAAAACTTCCAGGGATTAGGAAATAGAAGGAGAAATCTCTTGCTGGGACACTGGACATTTCAGCGACTGTGGGTTTTACTGTTGATCTGCCTCATCATTTCTCAGTTGTGTCTGTGAGCACTTTCAGGCTGTTTGTCAATTTATAGAGTTCCTGTTAGTTCAAATGGGTTTCTTAGTCAAGGAATGCTCTGGTGGGTTTGCTAGTTCATTCCTATGAAACAGCCTGCCATATCTGGTATTTATTGGTGGTCTCCCATTCATTCAAGTACTAACCTGGACTGACCCTGCTCAACTTCCAAAGTCAGATGGGATCTGGTGCTCTTAGGATATTTATACTTTGCTTCACCACCTGATATTTTCATTGACCCTCAGGTATATCAGTTCTTCAGTTGCCTCCCAGAGGACAAAGTCCCCTACGTCAATAGTCCTGGAGAACGGTACCGCATCCGCCAGTTGCTGCATCAGCTTCCTCCACATGACAGTGAGGTAAGAAGTTATTTTAAAAAACAATGCACTATGCTGGAATTGCAAAGAAGAGGGTTTACTGTTACTGACAGTTATTGAAAAGAAGTCTGTATTCTTGTGGTGGCCAAGTGTGAAAGAGGACTGAAACCTGGCACCTATTCTCCTCCTTCTCCTCCTCCTCTTCTTGTTGTTATTCCTGTTCCTGTTCTTTCTAAGCTATTTTCCATGGAGGGGTCAGCATTGTGACTGTCATTTCCATAGGGCTTTGTTGTGGGCATCCTCAGGTCTCAGACTGACAGCATGCATGTCTTCGTTGATGGTGTCTATCCATCTTTTCTTTGGCCGTCCATGTGTCCGTCATCCTGCAATCTCCAAATAGTGCTTGTTTGTTTGTTTGTTTGGGAAGGAATCTCACTGGAGCATTGCAGCGCACCCAAATACCTGGGAGTCACTCTGGACCATGCTCTGACCTACAAGAAGCACTGCCTGAATATCAACAAAAAGTGGGTGCTAGAAACAATATCATACGAAAGCTGACTGGCACAACCTGGGGATCACAACCAGACACAGTGAAGACATCTGCCCTTGCGCTGTGCTACTCTGCTGCTAAGTATGCATGCCCAGTGTGGAACACATCTCACCACACTAAAACAGTGGATGTGGCTCTTAATGAGACATGCCGCATTATCACGGGGTGTCTGCGCCCTACACCACTGGAGAAATTACACTGCTTAGCCGGTATTGCACCACCTGACATCCGCTGGGAAGTAGCAGCCAATAGTAAAAGGACCAAGGCAGAGACATCTCCAGCTCATCCCCTGTTTGGGTATCAGCCAGCACGTCAACGACTTAAATCAAGAAATAGTTTTCTAAGATCTACAGAGACACTCGCTGGAACACCTCAGCAAGCGAGAGTCCAAAAGTGGCAGTCTCAAACCCAGAACCTCAACCAATGGCTGATACCAAATGAGAGACTCCCTGGGCACACAGAGGACTGGGCGACTTGGAAGGCGCTGAACAGACTGCGCTCTGGCACCACAAGATGCAGAGCCAACCTTCAGAAATGGGCTACAAAGTGGAATCCACAACATGTGAGTGTGGAGAAGAGCAAACTACAGACCACCTGCTGCAATGCAACCTGAGCCCTGCCACATGCACAATGGAGGACCTTCTTGCAGCAACACCAGAAGCACTCCAAGTGGCCAGATACTGGTCAAAGGACATTTAATCAACTACCAAACTCACAAATTTTGTATTTTGTCTGTTTGTTTGCTTTGTTCTGTTAGAAATGTAATATAATTGACTGGTTGCCCTGACACGACAAATAAAATAAATACAGTGTCACTGCACTCCATAGTTGGTTACCTTTTCATGACATGACCGTACCACCATAGTCTTGCTTCCTGCATTTTCTTGCCAATCGCTTTTATTCCTGGTCTTTGATGGATGTCATCATTTGGCACATGGTCAAGAAGTGTCAAGCCAAGTGCCTTTCTCAGTATTTTCATTTCCATTGTGTTAAGGACTTGTTCATGTTTCTTTGTTGCTGGCGCTGTGGTAGCACAATGGGTTAAACCGCTAGCTGCAAAAAACACTTGGCAGTTCAAAGCCACAGGTTGGGGTGAGCTCCCGCTGTCAGCCCTAGCTTCTGCCAAGCTAGCAGTTTGAAAACCTTTAATGTGAGTAGATCAGTAGGTACCACCTCAGCAGGAAAGTAAAAGGCGCAGCCATGTTGGCAACATGACCAGGAGGGTCTATGGACAACAGGCTCCTTGGCATGGAAAATGGAACAAGAACACTTCTCCATGGCCAGAGCTGAGCATTGCCTCCAGATGCCAGAGATGGAAGGGAAACCTTTGCCTTTGTATATTATATGTCATTGTTCACTGTATAAAAGAAAATTGGGTGCCCTAACAAATTTGTGAACATCCTGTGGCTCCACCATGATGACAACAGTCTTTGACAGCAGTGCCTCCGAAAGTGACCCATTTAAGGTGGAATCAGGTATCAAACAGGGATGGGTTATTGCCCCAACTTTATTCTCCATCATCATCACTATGATACTTCATCTTGTTGACGGGAAACTTCCCACCGAAGTGGAATTCATCTATCGGACAGATGGCAGGGAGATCTCTCAGGGAGATAGAGCAAGCTGTTTAACCTCAACAGACTGAAAGCCAAAACCAAGGTTACAACTGCATCTGTTATAGAACTCCAATATGCTGATGACAACGCATTCAGAAGAAGATCTACAAGCCACTCGAAACACCCTCGCAGAAGCATACAAGAAGCTCGGCCTATCATTGAACACCAAGAAAACCAAAGTCCTCTTCCAGCAGTCACCAGCCAATCCCTCTCCAATGCCAGAGATACAGCTTAATGATGTAACATTAAATGGTGACCATTTTCGCTACCTTGGCAGCCACCTCTCCACAAAAGTCAACATTGGCACTGAAATTCAACACCGCCTGAACTCTGCGAGTGCAGCCTTTTTCCGAATGAAGCAGAGAGTGTTTGAGGACTGGGACATTTGTAGGGAGACCAAGGTGCTTGTTTATAAAGCTATTGTCCTCCCAACCCTACTATACGCCTGCGAAACGTGGACTGTCTACAGACGTCACATGCAACTCCTGGAACGATTCCATCAGCTTCTGGAAAATCCTGCAAATCTCTTGGGAAGACAAGCGGACAAATGTCAGCATGCTGGAAGAAGCAAAGACCACCAGCATCAAAGCGATGCTCCTCCGCCATCAACTCCGCTGGACCGGCCACGTTGTCCGGATGCCCGACCACCGTCTCCCAAAGCAGTTGCTCTATGAACTCAAGAACGGAAAACGAAATGTTGGTGGACAGGAAAAGAGATTTAAAGATGGGCTCAAAGCCAACCTTAAAAACTCTGGCATGGACACTGAGAACTGGGAAGCCCTGGCCTGTGAGCGCTCCAGCTGGAGGTCAGCTGTGACCAGCAGTGCTGTAGAATTTGAAGAGGCATGAATGGAGGGCTAAAGAGAGAAACGTGCCAAGAGGAAGGCGCATCAAGCCAACTTCGACCGGGACCGCCTTCCACCTGGAAACCAATACCCTCACTGCAGGAGAAGATGCAGATCAAGAATAGGGCTCCACAGTCACCTATGGACACACCCTGGAGGATTATCCTACTCGGACAACTAGGGATCGCCTAAGTAAGTAAGTAAGTAAGTAAGTAAGTAAATAATTAAAAGGCATCGAATGTTTGCCAGTATATGTGTATACTGTAATTTGCTCTGAGTAATCTCAGGGAGATAGAGCAGAATTTAAATAAAGTGTATCATCATAATCATCATCATCAGTATAGGAAAAAATTTCATGGTGGTTTGCATGCCTTTGTGTGTGCGTGTGTTTGTGTGTCAGATCACACACATGCTTTCTTGCCTTTATTGGTATCATTCTCCTTTGGAGGCCCTCTATTCATTCATGCCCGCATTCCGGATAATTGAAGTTAATATATGTATGCCTGTGGCTACATAGATTTCTCATGGAAATTATCAACTGCAACCTATTACGCATAATATGTTAATGATCCCTTCTTGTTGCTGTATGTCTTCATGTTGTTCTCACTCTAAGGTTTTCCTGGGACTGAGGGTGTGCGATTCACCCAAAGTCACCCTGGCTAAGTGGGGAACAGGATCGTGATCTCCAGAATCCCAGTTCAGTGCTCCAACCACCACACCATGACATCTGTATCAACATCTATTCTGTGTTTATCCTTCACATGAATTTTTCACCAGGCCTTTTGCAATATATAACATCTCACAGGGGGTTTTAAATTACTTATTTGGTTTTTCCAAGTCAAACGGTACTTTCTGTCACTTTTTAGATTGTACTTGCTTTATTGGCAGAATTTTGCCAATTCTGTCACCCTTTTGCAA